GTCAAGCATCTTGGCATAAGGATTTGCCTGAGCTAGCACTTTGCCTCCGAAGCTCTTGCTATCTATAAAGAGGATTTGGGAAATCATTTAGAAATTAATTTGAGATGTCACGTTACCACATCAAGACAGGTAGAACTCATCTGTCCATCACGTGCATTTATTACCCTAACAGCAATAAGTAGACACAGATCTCCTTGGCTTCAGTGACGTTTGAGACAAGAAAGGAATGCTTGTAGCAGCTAATTACGTCTCCCTGTATTAATTACCATGTTAAATGACAGTTTTGTTCACACCTTGTTGTTTTTGTTAAGGAAAAAGGAAAAGAACAATTTTGGGCAGTTCTCTGAAGATTTGGAATAGGAATCTTGGCTCATGTCCTTAACAGATTTCAAGTCGAAGCAAGGAAAGCAGAGAACTATTCCACTTGTGTTTGGTGGCTTAATAGAAAAAAAAAAATTAATGACTTTCATCTTATTTCGGCTCAGACGCCTACCTGAGATATGATTTGAAATGAGTTTCCTATTCTTGACTCTCCTTGTTGAAGACCTGGAGATTTATCAATATCTTGCAACAACAAAGAATATTGCTCGGTGCAATTCAAGTCAGGAGCTGCTTTCTTCTCCAAAGAACCATCTTAACTGCTACAGATTTAAACAGGATTTATACTTCATAAACCCAAGTGTGTATCCAAATCCTCTTGTTATTGTAAAGAACAACAACAAAAAAAGCCATATTCTCAATAAGCCAGTCTTGTTTTCTCTAAACCTCTAAGGAAAGATTTGTACTTTCCCTACTCTGAGAGTTAGAAGAAATAAACCCAGGTTGGTCAGCACCCCTCTCAGAAACTGGGGTCTGACAACAGGCTCCTGGGCCCTGGAACTTTCTGAGCACTAATTATGCAGGGCTTGGCAAAGTGATTGGAGTGAATCTGTCACCAGCTCCTCTTTAATGTGAGTAGCAACTTACATTTATGTTTATTTTTCTGGACACATTGGTGTGCCATGCTGTTATCTAGTCAGGGACATTTCACCGTTTCCTTATGGGATTTATAACTGCAGGTTTATTTCTCTGCTGATGTCTAATGCCACATTTAGAAGTATGTCCACCTGACACTTAGAAATTTCCTTTGGAAAGGTATTTAAGCCAGAAATGGCGAAGCTGGCCCAGAATCCACTGGCCAGCTGCTGCTTTGTCTGCAGTGGGAAGCAGGACCTTTCAAGTTAAATGGATTTCCCCTCTTTTGAGGTAGCGAAGGTCAAATCTGGGTTCCTGTTTTCATTTGAGATTTTCTCATTTGGCCACTGTTTCTATGATTTGAATGTTAGAAGATGCAGAAAACATGGTCCTTGGGATGCCTATAGATACAGCTGGGGCGTCACTGAGAAGGGCACAGAGGTTTCTTAGAAGGAGAGATGGGACACACTTGGGGTTAAATTCTGGTTCTTCCAGTTTCTAGTTCTGTACATTAACTTCTCATCTTTAAAAACTTGTAGGCTACATCTTTAAAAACTTGTAGGGACTTCTTGAAATTACACATATGAATCATAGAAGATGAATGGTGATGTTAGTATGTGTTTGAGTAATAGCCATTTTCCCTGGGAAACATATTTGATTTAGAGTCCCTGTGAGTGTTACATATGTAACTTGGTGTTCATTCACTCCACAGTTTTACATCCAAGAAGCATTGACACCCTTTCGAAATTTCATTCCTTATCTGGCCAGCAAGTCTTCCTCTTTGAGATGACTCTGGATATAGAAGTTGAAAATACTTTTGATTGACATGCATGTGGACAGCCATACCTGGGGGACAAAGGACTCCATAAAAAGTATGTATGATACCAAGGGCCCTTTGATTCTATTTGAAATATTAAGATCTAAGTTTAAGCTATTTAAAAGGTCTGATAGTTTCTGCTTTTATTCTCAATACAGAAATGATGATGGAGCTCCTGACCCCTGCTGGAAAATTCTCAGCTGCTTCCAGGGATGACACTTACACTTCCCTTCTAGGCTTAGTGTGGATGGTCGCTGATTGCATCAGGAGAACGGACATCCCATCTCTTGAAGATGATAGAAAGTGCATTTGCTTTTGCTCAGCTGCCAATGAGTACTTGCTGGCACTGTGGCTCACCAAAAGTGTGGCCAGTCATAGTGGGGCTATTGTGAGTAGGCAGACATTGTCATCCTCCAGGGCCTTACCATGTTGACATTGAGTGGGCCAACGAGAGGCCAGCTGATGGGCTGTCACCTTGTGAGCCAGAAATTTATATCCAAGACTGAGAGAAAAGATTGGCTAAACTAGCACAGCAGAGTATCATTATTATTAAAAAACAAACATAGTCACTGAGAATTTTGAATGTTCAGCTCATCCTCTCTTTAGTAGCAGGTGACTTTGGAAACCAAGTTAAGTCCCTGGAGAGTTGCCTGGTGCATATAGAATCTGAATAATGAGATCGAGAAGATTTGTATCATTATTTTTTCTTTGTAAAATTGCATAAGCAATAAATTTTCATTGTGGAAAGATTAGAAAAAGTGATATGTACTAAAGGGACATAAAGAAGTCATGTAGATCACTTAGAGACAACCATTGTTAATATTTTGGTGTCTTTTTCTATACTTTTCTATGTTTTCTTATTGAGATTTGCATATTCTAGGGCTGGAGGATAGTTCATTCTTTCAACAACTTAGGGATCTACAAGAGCAATTGTGTTTTAGATTAATTTTTACATAAGAGCAAGAAGCAGGAAAACTTCTTCCTATAAAACCAGTCTTTCACTGATTAAATGGATAGATGGATGGATGGGTGAATGGATAGAAGGAATATTTTTGCTGAAGATGTTCTGTAGTGCAAGCTTTCTAGTTGTAAATTCTTTTCACTCTTGTTTATTATGGAAGGTTTTTATTTCACCATCAAATCTAAAGCTTAGTTTTGCTAGATTTAAGATTCTTGGTTGGCATCCATTTTCTTTCAGAGCTTGGTATATGTTGTTCCATGATCTCCTGGTTTTGAGGTCTGGGTTGAAAAATATGCTGAGATACGAATTGATCTTCTCCTATATGTGATCTGATTCCTCTCTCTTGTGGCTTTTAAGATTTTATCCTTAGTCTGTATGCTAGGCATTTTCATTATAATGTGCCTTGGTGTAGATCTGTTGTAATTTTGTACATTTGGTGTCCTATAAGCCTCTTGTATTTGGTTTTCCAATTCGTTCTTCATGCTTGGGAAAATTTCTGATATTATCTCATTGAAGAGATTGTGCATTCCTTTGGTTTGAAACTCTGTGCCTTCCTCTATCCCAATAACTCTTAGCTTTGATCTTTTGATGCTGTCCCATAATTCTTGGATGTTCTGTTCATGGTTTCTTACTATCTTCACTGTGTGATCAACTTTATTTTCCAGATTGTATACTTTGTCTTCATTATCTGAAGTCCTTTCTTCCAAGTGATCTAGTCTGCTGGTTATGCTTTCTATTGTGTTTTTTATTTGGTTTATTTCATCCTTCTATTTCAAGGATTTCTGACTGTTTTTTTTTTTCAGAGTCTCTATCTCTCTCTTGAAGTAATCTTTTGCTACCTGTATTTACTCTCTTATCTCATTGTTGGAGTGATCAATTTTTGCCTGTATTTGCTCATTTATGTCATGTCATTCTTTAATTCACAGATCATTTTGATTATGAACCTTCTGAACTCCTTCTCTGACATTCCATCGACTTCTCTGTCCATGGGTTCTGTTATTATAGTGTCCTGGTTTGTTTGGGGCACTTTCCTCCCCTGTTTTTTCATGTTGTCCATGTGTCTTCCTTTCTTGAAGTGTGGATCTAAGATATTATAGTTTCTTCCCTTTATTCTTGTAGTGCCCGTGCAGATTGTCTGTACCTCACCTTGATGTTGGGCTTCCACACCCTGATGGTGTCCCTCAATGTATGCTACTGTACCTAAAGGTGGTGGCGGCAATAGCCAAGGTAACTGGAGATAATAGCTGAGGTGCCTCAAGATAGAAGCAATGTCTTACAGAGATGGGGCTGAAAGGGTGGGCCCCACACTTTCTTTGGGATGCCTGCTCTGAGATGCTGTTGCTTCCAGGTCCTGTCTGCTGTCAAAAAGTTAGGTGACTGCAGTGTCCCAAGATGGAAGTGGTTTAGGCTTAGGCTCCCAGGTGAGGGGGTAGGAACTTGGACCTACCCTGGACCTGGGTCCTGTGCTAGTTGGTATGGGCAAATCTGGGCAGGGCTCCCACAGTAGTTGTGAGCCTGGGTCATGTGCAGGATGGTGTGGGTGGGATCTGTGCTACTGGGCTTGACCTCCTGTGGTAATCTGCTGGTCGGAAGCGGCAAGGGTGGTCCTGTGCAAGAGGCTGGGGAGGGGGGGACCTGGGCCTACTGTGAGCCTGGGTCACGTGCAGGCCAGTGTGGGTAGATCTTGGCTGCTGGGCTTGACCTCCTGCATTAGTCTGAAGGGAAAGATTAGATTGGTCAATGGAATATTTGGATATTTGGAATCAAGTCAGCTTATGTTAGGCTGGTAAGGTACATGTTGGAGCTGGTTAACTTTCTTTGGGAGGGAGGATAGGTTTTTGTTGGACAGCGTCCTGCCCTTGGGGGAAACTACTTTACCCTCACTCAATGTGGTCAAGTTAGTTGTGAAACATGCTGCATTTCTTCTTTCTCCAGACCTCCTTAGTGACAGGGATGAGCACTTGACCTCCATCTCAGCAAATCATATCCTTGCAACCACTTGGATATAGAGATTGGTCCAGGGTGGAATGGGATCCACCCAGGGCTAACCAGAGTTTTTCCTGGAATTGATTTGTGAGCACTAGGAGAAGAAGTCTCATTTTATAATGAGGAAGCTCAATGGGAAAAATGACTCAAGTGGGCAGCCCAATGGCTTCTTGCCGGCCATGTGGCAGTGAGGTTGTGTGAGAGCAGGGACTAGGGGTGCAGAAATAGTGTGTGTGGGGGGATAGTGGGGGGAGAGAGTGAGCGAGCAAGAGTGTGGCTGATATTGTGTGAGCCCTTGGATCCATTAAGATGCCTAGTTACATTTACCAACTAATTTTACTTTTGCTTAAGCTCGTTGAATTGGTTTGGGTCATGGCTAATGTGCTTCCCCAGCTGTTTAGGAAGGGGCCTAGCTGACCTAGTCTCTAAGTGCACACTGCCTGGCCCACGGCCTGCTTGACTCATTGAGTTATCATCTCCTCTTTGTGCTCAGGATATAGCTCTTCTGCCTTTTATTCTGCCTTGAAAGTTTCAGCGTCCAGCTCTGCATTCATTTTGGTGACAATGGGCCAGTCTTTTCCTGGGAAAAGAGGAGCCCAAAGCGCCCTCTTGGCAATCAGTGTAAGGGTAGAACCTGTGACTTCTCTCATAGTTGATGGGGTCAGATGGGTAGGGCAGGACCCATTTTGATTAATATGCCTATAAAATGGAATTCTGGGACTGACCTCCACTCAGCTCAAGCCACACAAAGATAATTGACCTTTGGAAACTGCCTTTGGCAGTCTTTTTATTATTTTTATAGGAAAGTCCTGCAAACCAATTACATCTCACAATGGGCCTTTTATGGTGCTATTAGTTTAATGCAGCTTTCAGAGAAATTAGCCCTCAGGGAGCCTGAAATTCTAGGGGAAAAAAAAAAAAGCCCTTCGTGGACTTATTTGACTTTTGGATTCATAGGAAAGATGGATGGGTAGCACAATATTCCCTACAGTCTCTTTTGCATTTTGAGCCATCTGACCAAAGTACCAAAGTCCCATTTTAGGTCCCTGGTGTCTGGCCCAAGGAAAAGGGAAAAAATAAATTTAGAAAAGAACAAGCTGTCTCTTTAAAGAACTCAGTCTACAAATCAAGGAGGGTTTATTCTCCCTTGGTCTGAGGTTAAAGAAAAATGGAAGTGAGAAGATTGAAATAGCACTTTGATTTGAAGGTCTGGGCTTTTCAGAATGTGAGATTACAGGTGTCCGTCTTGGATCCTCGGGTTGGCTTCCTCACCTCTCACCCCAGCCACAATTATTTACAGAGTGATGGCTCTCAGTGCCACTGTCACAGTGTCAGGCTGTGGGTCTCCACTGGAGAGAAGGGAGGGACCATCTCAGCAGTCACCCTGCCCTCTGCCACAGAACAAGTGCCTGGGACTTAGAGCAAGCTGGGGGAGGGAGAGAAGGACTGGCAGGAGGCCTGCCCAGGCGCGAGGCCAGCCCATCCCTGGGACAGGGAAGGAACCATAGAGCAGGTCTGGGAGGGGCAGAAGGCCCAAGCCACTTGCCCTTGGTCATCAGCCTGGTGCACCTGTGAGCTCACAGTCCTGTTGCCGCTCCTACCTTGAGGGCTTAACTGGGTCATCACACTCTTATCCTTCAGTTATTGTTGGCTCTGGTTCTGACCTTGCCAGGTCCCCGGGGCAGAAGAACTGGGTTTTATCTGCAGGCCTGTGGGCTTCCTGGAGCTGCAGGAAGATTTGGCTTCACCTGAGCAGACGGGGCTGGCTGCAATGCTGAGAGCTATGGCAGATCCATGGGAACAGCCCTCAAGCATCCGTGGGAAGGAGGTAGGTGGATACCCAGCTCCCTAACCCCCAGGTGGGACAACGCTGGGATTGTTCTACAGAGCCTCCCAGAGTTGCCCAGTAGGATGGAGCCCCAGCTACCCCAAAGGCAAACTTGTTTTTCACATGTCCTTCCTTTCCATGTCTCAGTTCTGCACTCCCCACCACTGCTCCTCAGTCACCCCCAAGCAAACCACACACAACCAGCCTTTCTCAGATGGGGGTGGGGGACCTAGACCAGGCTAGACCTCATGCTATTTCCTGTTCCCGACTCACTCTGTCTTATACTGTCACCGGCTCTTCTTGCTCTTTTCTTATTCTGTATTTATATGACTTCTTGGGTCATATCTAATCCAGGTTCCTCCAGGCAATTACCCGGGTAGACTCCCAGGACCTTCCTGTTGCCCCTGTGGCTAGAATTCTTGCTGGCTTTGGCCTAGTACTTGATGGAGGAAATAGAATCTCATTTTAAGGGGAAAATGAACAGAAAGAAAGAGAGAGCCTCCCTCTAGAAGGAAGACAGGAGAGAAGAGTGAAAGGAGCACATCTTGGACTTGATGCACAGGATGTGTCTCTCCAGCAAGATGGGCCCTGGCAGTTGAGTTCTCCATCCATGGGAACTTCTAGGCCTGCCCTTTCTGGATTTCTGCTCCTGGAACTTGGAAACACTGATGGATTGGTTTTATCAAAAGCGGGGCTGGTCTGGGTGCTGTGTGCCCACCTATAATTCCAATTTCTCTGGAGGTCGAGGCAGAAGGATTGCAAGTTTGAGGTCAACCTCAGCAATTTAGCAAGACCCTGTTTCAAAATAAAAAATACAAAGGGCTGGGGATGTGGCTCAGTGGTAAAGCACCTCTGGGTTCAATCCCTAGTACAAAAAAAAAAAAAAAGCAAGTCTGGGCTCCCTTCTAAAGCAGCAGTGTCTTCTTATAAGGCAAATGGCATGGCTGCATCTGCCGCTTGTGTGATATTGGGCATGTTGTTTAATCTCACTATTACAGCTCAGTGTCTTCATCTGAAGGATGAAGCTCATCATGTACCACCTCATAGCATAGTTACGAAGAGTAAATAAGAAAATATGATGAAGTGCTTAACAGAATGCCCGGCACACAGTAAGAGCTCAATAAATGCTAGCTGTTATTATTAACTTGTCATGTACTGCCTGGTTTTGTTCATTATCTTTTGATATTTTATCTCCCTGAAGGCAACAGAGCAGCATCTCTCTTCTCTTGGTGTCTGTAGTTTGTGTGCATAGCAGAGGTATGAGAGGATCCATCCACAGAGACCAGGCAGGTTAGCATCCTGGCTCTCTGGACCTTGCTCTTCCTTCTTGACCTTCAGGGCTTGCTAGAGCTTCACCCACTGCAGAATTCCAGGTGCAGAGACGCCACACCAATACTGAAGGGCTGTTAAAATACCCTCCTATCCATAGGGCCTCGCTGAGAATCAGGAGACACAGGAAGAGACAGTTCAGTGATGGCCGGGATCAGGCCCATCCCTGAGTCTGTAAGGGAGCTGCCTCATTATGATCCAGCCATTTCACTGGCCACCCGCTTGGCCATCCTTAAAGCCCCAAGACAGACTGAGGCTGGTTCCCCAAGAAAGAGCAGTGCAGCCTGGGGGGGTATTTGCCGCTTGGAAGGCACCCGAAAGTTCAAGCCGAACGAGCCTTTTAAACAACAGCATCATCTGCTGCTTCCCCTTCAGTGTTCCAGACAGATAAAGATAAAATAGCTGAGGTAATTGTGGAGATGGAGTGTCGCTGGCAAATGATCTGAGCACAAAGACCATTTCCAGAGACAGATGGAGTGGAGGCTCCGGTAATTTTTCTTGAATCATGTTTAAAGTGGCACAGTCTGAAAACCAATTCAACACAAGTGCTGCTCCGAGGTCCGGGTCCACCTGAACTTGGAAAATATTAAAGCCCCGCGGAGCTTCACAGTGACAAAGGAAGGGTGAGATCCCCCAAATAACCCACATGCAAGTGGTTTGGAAAGAGGAGCGTGATGGTCACACCTGGGGAATTCCATCCACGCAGCCACCTTACCCATGGCTGCTGCGTGACAAAGCTGTCATCTGGACTTGGCCTAATAGCAGGGGATGGGACTGCACAGGTGTGGGTGGGATCTGGTGACCCCCCTGGGGCCTTTCTTGTTCCTAGTCCAGCTTGCCCAGAGGCATCCAGACAATGGATTTTAGGAACCTGGCACTTTGGAGTTTGAATGTGCTGGCAGCTTCCGTGGGCCCAGCGCCAGGGAGAAAGCAGTTGGGGACTTCCCTGGACTCTCTCTCAACCTGCTAATGAAGGAAGTAATGGGCTCTGAGGGTAAAATGACAACATCTTATGGAACACGTTGCTGCCACTGAAAACCATGTTGCAGAAAAATGATCTGATGACTTGGGGGAAGGATCATGATCTATAGCCAAAAGAAAAAAAGAACGGCATGCAGTGAGCTCTCGGTGTTTATTTGAAATGATAAACACACACATATGCAAAGAAATAATGACTAACAAGACAGATCAAATATTTATCTTTAGGTTTTTATGCCTCACTATATTTTCCACAATGGGTTTGTATTTTGTAAGGAGACAAAGATGTATTAAAACCATATCTTGTATTTGCATAGTATTTATGGTCGTTTTTTCCCATACACACTTTCAACTGATGCTCACGAAGGTTCTATGAATTAGGTAGAGCAGCTATTCCCGTTTTACAGATGAGGGAGTTGAGGCTCAGAGCAAATCAGGGACTTGAAGAATGTGTTGTTTAGCTTTTAAGACACTGAGCTGGGATGGGAACCTAAATCCTGTGTGCTCCCGTTTAGTCCTCTGAGCATGAGGGGTATCAAGACATGCTAGTCAACAGGACCTGCCACTCGGCAATTGTGGTCCGAAGTCATGTTCTGGATCATCTCCTTTTATGATTACTCATCTACTGTTCACTTCTTATTGGATTCTTGTCTGTTCCCTGCACTAGACTAAATTCCCTGGGGGAGAGGACTGAGTCCAAATGCTTCCTTAGCACAGGGCACTTGATCCTGAGGTCTTTTCCCGGCTAGACATAACACTCTGGAGCAGAGTCTGCCTTTTTACTCACCATCCAGTTTCCTTGTGTCCAGTCAATCCTTGTGACACAAAGGAGTCAATGGTTTCCACATGGGACCCACTGTGCACCAGGACCTCCCTGGGATCTGAAGTCCACTAGTGGACAAAGGAGACGTGGTTTCTGGCTCTGGGGGGTTTCCCCAGTTCTTGGAGCCCTGCAGAATGCTCGTGGAAGGAGTCAGGGATGGAAGATGTGAAGAAATGAGCCCTCAGGAGGCAGTGCTTTGAGCCTGCAGCTCCTGGAGCAAGGGTTGGGGAAGACAGCGGGGGAGGGGGGTCTCTGCATGGCTCACAGAGTCACTAGGGCAGAGCTTTCTGTGGTGACAATGTGGGTAGGATGGGGACAGGCCTCTCCCAGGGGAATGTGTATTTAAATGACTAGGGGTCATTCTGAGGCTTACCCATCTGGAGAGTGGTTGCTGGAGTGTTGCTGGGTATGGTAGCTGTGGTTTGTTGCATGCTGGTGTGTGTCAGGTCCTATTGTGATGTCTGGTATGCATAAACTGAAACTCTTAACTACCCTACAAGAGTGCTACGATTATATACAGATGAGGTCACAGAGAGGTAAACCAGTTTGCTGAGGGTCATCCAGCCAATGAAGGATGTCCAGAATTGGAACCCAGAGAGTCTGTCCTCTGTTACGTGCTCTTAATCATGGAGCTCAAGTCTACTGAGAGAATGCACATCTCAGTTGGGGAAGGAAGGAAGAGAAAAGGCTGAGAACCACTTGAGAGGGGAGCGGGAAGAACTTGGAGATTCCTTCCATTTCTCATTTCTTGAGCTTATATTTGTTAGGGAGATGTAACATGTAACCCATGTAGCCGCTTGAAAATGTTCCAAAGCAGGCTGGGAGTGGTGGCCCATGTCTGTAATTCCAGCAACTCAGGAGGCCAAGGCAGGAGGATCACAAGTTTGAGGCCTGCTTCAGCAATTTAGCAAGACCCTGTCTCAAAAACTAAAAAAATTCTTCCAGGCACTGTGCCAGGTACTGAGATCATTATGTGAACAGAGCACACTCAATGCCTTCCTTCATGGAGCTCATCGTCTGGTAAGGCAAACAGAGAGCAGTCAGATCACTCCACAAATGGACAAATTACCACAAAGGATTTGAAGGGAAGGCCCAGCTTTCTCTGGGAACATACAACAGCTTGGCAGGCCCCAGGTGGGCACAGGGGGTCAGGGAACGCCCCTCTTCAAAGTCTAGCTTAAATGAGATTGAGCGATGGACTGGAGGTACCTGGTGAACGGAAGGAGCCAAAGGGAGTCCAGATAGAAGATTGGCGTGTGCAAAGGCCCTAGGGTAGGAAAGAGCCAGAAGGGTTCCGGGGGAGTAAGGGAAGACCAGACTGGATATGACGCAGAGCCAGCTCAGGAACAGCTCAGACCAAGCTGGTGAGGGAGTCAGGGGGCCAGGCCATGCGGGCGGGGCCTGCATGGATGGAAACCATGCATCTCAGTTTGTAGGGGACTGGATCGTTTTGTAGGGAACGATATTTGTTAGGAACAGGATCGTTTTGTAGGGAACGATCCTGTTCACCCCTCTTTCCTTAGCAATTTGGGAATAGAGTCTCTTTTACTCTTAACACTGTCTTGGTTTAGGTGACACAATGTATGGTCCCCCTTTTTGGCCATGTTGTTGACATTTGCAGCACTGGATGGAGATTGAACCCAGGGCCTCGGCATGCTAAGCACACACTTTACCACTGAGCAAAGTCCTCAGCCCCTCTCAGGCCATGCTGACGAAGTATTTCTTACCCTAAAAAATGGGAAGTTCCTGCACGGCTTTCAGCAGGTGAAATTCTCCCCTGAGACAACCAGATTCAATTTCTCCGATGACTCTGGCTGCAGTAGGAGGATGGGTGGGAGGGGTGGAGGGTGCAGGAGAGCTATCGACCGCTCACGATAAGGTAAAGCCTGTCAATACCATGGAGGGAGCTACTCCCTTTCACTTTAGTCTCCCAGAGAAAGTTCCAGACCTCAGATTTAGAGAAGAGCCACCATCCACACATAAGTTGGCCAGGTGTAGATCTCGTCTAGTCTCCTTTCTCGTTGCCAGGGGCCTGTGTCATGTGGTGTCTGGACAGGGAAGTCCTAGCCTGATTTTCTGAAAAACCAAGGACTTCATATATCTATTCTGGAAAAAACACCTGTAGGTCTCCCTAGGTGTCATCCATAGGCCGGCTTCCCTTCAGGCCACCCATCTCTGCACAGTGGTGGGGTCTTCTGCTAGTCCAGGGCTGCTTCAAGGATGTGGGTGGCAGGGCGTGGTAGTGGCTGTTTGTTTTCCTAGAGCCTGTCGTGGATTGCAGGTGAAGTACAGATCTACCTACTCCCCTGAACTGCAGGTATCCCCCCACCCCAGCTTTCACTTTGCTTTTACATCTGTATTAAGACGCTGTGCCTCTTCCCCGCCCGCTGGCCTATTGAACTCGCCTGGGCTGGGCTGCTGTTCCCAGCATCGCAGGTCTTTTCTCTCCCTTGGTGAAATAAAAACAGAATCATTCTAGTGGAACGTTTTACATCAGATGCATCAAAGAAAGCGGCTACAGAACCCAGGGCTCCTTTGGAAGCAGCAGAGCTGGCCGGGGAGAGGGTGGGGGGGCAGGCCTATCAGCAGAGGGAGCTCAGCCCAAAGGGAGGGGACGGAGGAGCCAGGCTCAAAGGGCTCCAGGAGCTCCGGTGGCACCGGATTAAGTCACCCCGGGAACTGATGGCCCTTTTTAGTGTTTTTATCCTCTCGGAATCTAATTTGGTAGTCCAGAGTGATGTGGCTCTCTGCGAGGCGCCTCTCCCTCTGCCCTTTTTTTATGGCCCCATCCCCCCTTGCTCTAAAGGTTTTCTTCTCTCAAAGTTTTTACTGCTGCCCGGCTCCAGCCAGGAGTCCACTTCTTCTGACCCCACCCCCCTGCGTCTCTGGGTTGTAAATGAACCGTCCTGGAAGCCAGAAACAAGGGTTTCTAGCTCATCGCCCTGAGTCCTGGGAGTGTCCAACTCTGCCTGTCACTATCGGGAAACCCAGGGCACGGCCAGCTCCGAGCAGTGACAGTGGTCCCTGGAGTCATCGTGTGGCTTCTTCCCAGCCGAACCGCAGAGACTGACTGCTTGATGACCAGCTAGCACCAAAATGAGCCTCTGAGCCCCTCTCCTCCCATCCTCCCGATCCATCAGAGGACAGGCCCAAGTCCAGATAGTGACAAGGGGACAATGACCTCACACACTCCTAGAGGCCAGACCCTAGCCCAGGGCTCTCTTTCCCTTGGTAAAGGAGAGAAGCCCAGAAGGCACCACTGTCCTGGTTTCTCGTGTCGTCATTCTAAGGCCCTGGGATCCTGGGGACCCCACCGGGACCTGTGCTGTGAGTGTCTAAGGCCTGATGGAGAGGAGGGGTTGGGCTGGCAAAGCATCCAGCCCACGGCTCCAGACCAGATGGGCAGATGCCCGCGGGTCAGGGAAGCAGTGGAAATGAGGGCAGCGGGCCAGGGGTCAGCAGTGGGAACGGGGGTTCAGCTGCAAACTGAAGCCACGTGCCTCCACGACGAGAGAGAGCTGCTGGTGCTCCAGCCTATGGTCCACACAGAGTAGGGAGGGCTTAGGGTGGCCTGGCCTGGCTGCTGCGATGGGGACGGGGACATGGAGGTGAAGGGCTCCTGATGGACATGCGTGTTGGCCTGTTCCCTGGTGCTTCCTCTTCTGCCTCTCTCCCTCTACAACTTTCCAGTAAAGGAGAAGAGATTACCCAGAAGAATGTTGCGGGGTCAGGGGTAGTGTGGGGCGGCTCTGTTGAATGCTGGTGGAGCTTCCTATCCTACCCAGCCAGCAAGGGGTTAGAAGAGACTGAGCTTGTTGTAGGACAAGGACTCCTTATGTCCAACTAAATTTGTAAAAAAAAAAATTTTCCTTCAACATAAAATGCCCAATGGACATGGGTTAGAGCAGAATTTTTATAAATTTTTTTTTTCATACAGAAAACTTAGTATATTTTTAACCCAGTTTCATGGAAAATTCTTTAGGCCTTGCCTTTTGCAGACAGTGTGAGCCACAGACCTCGGATCCAGCACATTGCCAAGGTGTCCACCATTGCAACTGGTCCTGACAGTCCCACCAGCTTAGACGGGACACCTGTGTCTTCTGAGTTATCTTGTGGGGGTGGATGAGGGCGAGTCCTTTCTGTAGAGTAGCCTCCGGAGTTTGGCTGTCCCTTTCGTGATGTGGAAGGGATCCAGGGCAGGCAGGAAGATGTCAGCTAGATGGAGGCCACCTGGTGCAGCCAACCCCAGCTGAGCTTTCCTGTTTGCCCCCAGGTAGTGACAAGATTGAAAGACAGGTGCTGCTTTGGCAAGGACATCTCCTCGGCCTGCAGCTCTCTTCTCAGCCTGGGCCAGCAGCCTCTGCTTCTCCTCTTTCGGTGTCTCTGGGCTGAGGTCGTGGACCAGCTCAGGCAGGTGAGTGGCGGTTTGGCAGTCCAAGGTCTAGGTGAGCTGGTGAGCTGCTTGCAGAGCCCAGCGAGCCCTCTGCTCTGGCCGCTGAACTTGGTGGGGTCACTCCACAAAGCGGGCAAGGTCCCCTTTGGGTTGGATGTCCTGTCCAAATCCAAAATTCTCAGGCCTTTTCTCAAACAGGGGACTCATCGCCTTCTTGGCCTCCTGGTTCTTCCTCATGGTGAGGGCTAGGGCCGCCATCTTCTGTTTTAGGAATCTTGGACAACTGGAGGAGAAAGAAAAAAAACAACATAATTTTAAAAAATCAGTTTCTGCCTATTGAGTCCTTAATACATGCTGGGCATTACACATTAGGTCCTGTAAGCCTCCGCATGACCAGAGCACAGACATTATTATCCTTTGTTTTGTAAATGGATGAAGAAATGAAGGCTCAGACAAGTCACTTGTTCAAGGACACACAGTGCAGTGGGTCCATGCACACACACACACACACACACACACACTACACACACTACACACACTATATATAGATAAATACAACTTTCAAAAGTTGTTCCATTTTGGATCGCAGGCCTCTTCTACAATAGCCCTCTTCCTACCGCACACAGCTTTTCGTTAGAGTAACGGCTTTGGTTGAGGTCACCTTTCCCATGAACTGCAGTTTATTGCCTTGGCAAAGGTGGTTGTCATTTGGTGGTGGCTTTCTTCCCTCTCCCAGCTCCCAGAGCCCAAGTGCTCAGCCTGGGAAACCACCCAGGCTGTCTTTGTGGCAGCCGGAAAGCTGGCAGCAAGCGTCATGGAACAAAAGTGGGCTCCTTTTCCTCCCTGCCCTTTTCCTCTGGGCCCCAGCCAGGCTCTCTGCACTCATCCCTGTCCCTCCATGAGAAGATGGGATGGACCTGCCACCCCACACTTGAATCCTTCCTCAGCCATGCACAAGCCCTGGCACAGGGTCAGAGGTGACCGGGGAGACCCACAACAGGCTGCCAGGGGTTCTGAGTGCACTGGAACTAGTGCACTAGAACTCAGGCTAGAAGGTCAGGCACTTTTTGCAAGGGAAGGACATTTTATTTTTTAAAGCAAAATCAATTTATTCTAGAGATCACATGTTTTCTAGGAATGGAAGGGCCGGGCAGTTAGCTTGGAAGAGTACGCAGCTGCTGGAAACCAAGTAAAACCTGGATGTTCGTTCAGGCCACAGGGAAGGAGAGAATCAGGCGACTCCCAGGACAACAGCAGCAGCAGGGCCCTGACAGTGGCATGAACTGTTTGCCATTAACTTGATTCACTCCATGTGCCAATGGTGTGTCTGATCTCTCCCCTGTCTGTTTCAGACACTGGAGAGAGGCATGTCCATGTCCATGCCACAATGATGAAATCGCTGTGGATAGGCTGTCACAAAGAGTTTTGGGGCTCACTATTCTCTTGCCTTATTGAGTAAATAATTTTATTACTATTACTGAGATTAGATGAGAATATCTATCTAGAAGTCACCCCCAAACATGAGAAATTTCTTTCCTCCAATAAAACTTGACTATCTTTAGTGTTTTCTTTTTCAGGGTTTGGATGCAAACACTTCTGCTCTGAGCGCTTAGACATCTTAACATGTTGATTTGATTTAAAAAATCACCATATGCACTTTCTGGTTGGACACCAAGTGAAACCCCATCTTTGGGACCAAAAAGAAAAGAAAAAGAAAGAAAATAATTTGGGAGGGCAGGGAGTTCAGTTCCTAATCTGTCAAGAATATGGGCTGGGGATGTGGCTCAAG